AGAGTCCCCTGACACATCTCCTATGGAAAACAGCAGCATCCGGGGCGTTGGGCTCCCCATCCCACCCACATAGGACCTGGTCTCTCACCTCCATGCTGGGAAGAGTAGGAAGACCGGGAAGAGGTGGACCACTGCTTGGCAAAGGTATCGTCGGAGGAGGTATCGGTTCCCCCCTGCAGCTCGGCCCCCTCCTGCCCGCTGGGCCCCCCCGGCTCCGGCCGCCCCTCGGGGCTGATGCCGGCCGTGGGGGGCTCCTCGGCCTCGCCGCACTTGGCCATCTTCTGTGCCAGCATCCGCGCCGTCTCCTCCTCCAGCTGCCGGATATCCTCCATCGTCAGGTCCGTCCACTCATCCTGCCAGCACCAGGCTTGGCGGTGGGCGCGCAGCATCACCTTCCGCAAACCTGAGGGGGGAAAAGAGGCGGGGGCAGCGAGGCTGGCGAGGCCCCGCAGCTCCCCAAATTCCACCCCCCAGCAGCAGCTCCTGGCTCCGGACTCACCCACGTCGTGGATGAACTGCTCGATCTTGGACTGCATCCCCCAGTAGCGGAATTCCACCTTGCAGAGCTTGTAGGCGCACATGAGGGGCCCGCCAGCTGCTGCGGCCTCCAGCCAGTCATCCCCCAGCGGCCCCCGGCCCGTCTTGGAGGAGTGGTAGAGTTTGGGATCCTCCTCGGGCTTGTATTCCCCCGGGGAGATGGGATCACGCACGATGTCGATGGTGTCTGCAGGGGAACAGCACCTGTCACCTCGCAGCACCCGGCGAGGGGGCACAGGTAGGAAAAAAAGGAAAAGCGGACAAAAGTCAAGCCAAATTATTCCCACAAGCTGTCTCCCCAAGAGCAGCATACACTTTCTATCCTAGAACCCTAAAATCACGTAGACCTAAAATCGTGGAATCCTGGAATGATTTGGGTTGAAGGGACCTTAAAGCTCATCTCATTCCGCTCCCCTGCCAAGCGCAGGGACACTTCCACTGGCCCAGGTTGCCCCAAGCCCCATCCAACCTGGCCTTGGACACTTCCAGGGATGGGGCAGCCACAGCATCTCTGGTGCAACCTGTGCCAGGGCCTCACCACCCTCACAAAAAAGAACTCCCTCCTAATTAGGCATATAAAAATAAACCACCCCGGGGCTGGAACATCACAGACACTCTCGGTGCAGCCAACCACATGGGGAGCGGCACAGTGCGGCTGTGAGCGGCACGGGGGCTCAGAGCGTGCCAGGGCTGACACACATCCCATGTTGGCCCAGAGGTCTGGCAGCTGCAGAGTGATCCCAGCCACCCCACGGGACAGGGGGGCTGCTGCTGAGGACAGTGCACAGTGCAGCTCAGCACAGTTCCCAGCTCGGCCCCCACAAAAACCCTGGAGGTCCTCCAACATGACACAGGAGCCTCTGGAGAGCCAGGGGTTGAATGGTAACAACTCCCATCCCCAAATAGGGGCAGCCTCTCCCAAAATGTGGGTGACCTTCCCCCCACATGGGTGTGACCTCCCTAAACCTGGAGGGGGGCTTATGCATGGCACCCAGGAAAACACAATCCAATAGCCCCTGGGGGGCTGTTTGGGCTCAACCCAGCATCAAATCTCCTAAAATTTGACTTTTGCAGTCCTATCTCCAGGTCAGCTCCCTCCAGCCCAGTCTGGAGGGTCCTAGGCCACCCCACTGGCTCCTAGGACTGTCCTTCAGTGTTCTCCCCATTCCTGGGCATGCCAAAACCTTCATTTATTTTCCCCCCTTCATGTCCCCAACATGCTGCTGGCCTCTTCCTCCAGCTTGGGCTGAAAAAAAAGGAAAAAAGGAAAGAAGAGATGCCCTGAATCCATAAAAATGATGCAAGGCATGACACAATGCCAAGCATCTTGGATAGCAGCAGCAAGGAGCAGGGATAGGACCTGCTGTCCCCAAGCAGCTCCTGGCAGTGTCATTCCCACCACAATCAGACTCTCCTTGCTTTTACTACCGAGAGAAAGTTGCCAAGGAAGCAGTTATCCCTGCGGATTGCCCAGACCGTGTTATTCCATCGCCCTTTGAAACGTGAGATGGGTTTAAATCTGTTGGTGCTACGGGACACCACCACAAAGAAAATCCCAGAGGGATCCACGTCGGGGCTGGTCCCGCTCCAACCCTGCTGCCTGTGGGCGGCATCAGCTGCTGGAGACACCGCATGCCCTGTGGAATGCCCACGGGATGGGCAGCGGGCAGCAGGCACAGGGCCGTGCCCTGATGCCGTCGGCTGGGCCCCAGTTGCTTCCCGGCGGTGGCAGGGACAGAATTCCTCCCCCCAGGGCTGAGCTGCCGGTATCCCGGCCGGACATCCCCGGTGCGGCAAGAGCCGGGGAGAGAAATAGGTCAGATGAATCATTTCCTCCGAGTGCCTATTTTAGGCCTCCATTTTAAGAGGCAGCGCGTCACACTCCGTGCTCCGGCACCTAAACCGACCACATCCACATTGCCCGGAACGGGATCCTGCCGGGGAGGGAGGAATCCCACGCCAAGCCCCCAGCTCTGCCCACTGGTCCCCCCTGGAAATGAGCCGGAGAGCGATCTGGAGCAAAGCCCTGGGGAGGGGGAAGCAGGGCAGGGGTTGGGAAAATGGGGACACATTCTTGCAGCTCCCCCCACTCCAGCTGATCCAAAACACCCTGCGGGAGCCCAGTGTACTGCACACGTACACCCAGAGAGACTGGGAAGGCAAATCCGTGTCAGAACAGGGCTGGGACGCGGAAGAAGAGGGAAGCAGGCTGGCAGTGAGAAAGGGAGACTGCAAACAGAAATAGAGGCAAGCGAAGGGGCAGAGGACAAAACTGTGCCTGAAAATATCTTTAGTGTGGAATCTAATTCAGCAGTGCTGGGAGGGAGAAGTCAGGGAGCTTGGAGCAGGGAGACTGGGGCACAGGGAGTATGGAGCCTGAGCTGCAGGGAGCTCAGGATCCAGGGAGCTCTTCCCTTCCAGGGTCCCCAAAACACGGGGGCCAGCACAGAGAGCAAACCTAAGCAGGGAAGCCAAGCCCCTCAGGCCCCATTACACACCCACATCTCCATCCTAGGAGCACCAAGTGGGAATTCCAGCAGCCATGAGTCCTGCCTGGTGTCCCGAGCCGGCCGTACTCACCCAAAATCCTCTGCCTCTTCTCCGCCGCGCTCAGGTTGAAGACGTTGGTCTGCTGGCCCGCATCCGGCCGATAGTAGGTCTCTATCTCGATGGAAAACTTCTCCACGAAGGGACACGTGTACCTGGAAGGGGACAGCATTGAGTCTGGGGGCATAGCAGCCCACCTGCAGCCCACTCTGCCGCCCCTCCAGCCCCCACCTGGTGCGTGTGTAGGGATAAGCGTTCCAGGACTCCTCCTCCACCTGGAGTGCGGCTTTGGGGAGCAGCGCCCGGAACCAGCTGGGGATGTGGGAGCCGACATGGTAGATCTTGTGCGTGTACTGGCCGCTGCCCCCGGGGCCGTCGCTGTAGGGCCGGTTGGCCAGGATCTCCACCCCGCTGCCCTCACCACTCGACTCCTCCCGGCTCTTCTTCTGCGGGGAGAGACAACGGCTCAACACAGTCCCCCCGGACCCTGAGACCCTCATGAGCCCTTGGGGTCCCTGTCCACTCCTGCCCTCGCCAGCCCCACACCTGCTCCTAGGACCCCCCCCCTTGGCTCGGCAGCCCCAAACCCACCCAAACCTCACTGACACTGACACCTCTGCACCCTGCCAATCCTCCTGCCCATCCTGGGGCCCCACCGTGCCCCTCCAGGCTTTGTGCTCAGCCCAAGAGCCCCCCTGCACCTCCAGTTCCCCAGGCTCAACTTCTCAGCCCCTGCACCCTCCAGCTTCCCTCAAAGCCCCCCTGTGCACCCCCAGGCTCAGTCCCTGCACACCTTCGTGCTCCCCCGCAGCCCCCTGTGCCCCCCAGACTACCACCTACGGCCTCTCCCAGCCCTCTGCACCCCCTCAATCTCAGCCCACACATCCTTGAACGCTCCAGCTCCTCAGGCTCGGCCCCAGAGACCCCCTACTCCCCTACCCAGTTCCCCAAACTCAGCCTCTCAGCCCCCTGCATGCCCATGCTCAGCCCCAGAGGCGCCCCGCACCCCTCCAGCCCCCCATGCTCAGCCTCCTGCACCCCGTGCAGCCTCCCAGTCTCCGCCCCCAGCCCCCGCCCCGCAGCGCCCCGCGCTCAGCTCCGCATCCCACCTGGATCATGTAGAGCTGTGCCACCTGGTACTCCTCCAGGCTCATGGGCAGCAGGATGTGGTACTCCTTGATCAGCATGGCGGCGGCGGCGGGGGCGCCGGGGGCAGCGCCTGAGGGGTCTCCCGTTACGCGGGGCCGGGTCGGCACCGCTGCGGCCGGTTCGGCACCGCTTCGGAACCACTCGGAACCGCTTCGGAACCGCTCGGCACCGCTTCGGAACCGCTCGGGCCGGCTCAGCACCGCTTCAGCACCGCTCGGACTCGGGTTCGGCCGTGGGTTCGCCTCAGTTCGGCACCACTCGGACTCGGGTTCGGCCGCGGGTTCGCCTCAGTTCGGCACCGCTCGGGCCCGGCTTCGGCTCAGTTCGGCACCGCTCGGCTTGGCTTCGGCCCGGCTCGGGCGCCCTCCCCGTTGCCATGGCAACCACCCCCACCCCCTCCCCAGCCCGGTGTCCCCCCGGCCCCGCCGTTCCCCGGCCGCGGCCCCGCCGAACCTGCGCCGCTCCGCACCGGCCCCTCGGATCGTGACATCACAGCCCGTTCCCACGGCGACGGCCGTGACGTAGACAGGGAGGGGGGGGCCCGTGACGTCAGACAGCAGGAGGCGGCGAGAGCCGCTCACGGGCGCTCCGCGTGCACCGGCGCGGCCGCCCCCCCTCCCCATCCCCGCACATAAACGGGGCTTTTATTTAAAAAAAAGCCACATTTAAGTGATAAAACAGAGGTTGGAGCATTCCCCCGATGACACCCTCCCACCTCCACCCCGCGTCCCCACCGCGACCTCCCCCTGGAAGGGGGACACACCGAGTCCGAGTCCCAATATTGTCCTTTATTTATAAAAACAGGCATTTATAAAGAGCGGAGAGCGCGGGGAGGGGGATGCGCGGGGAGCACGGCGGCCTCCCCTCCCCGCCGCCACCGGGGGTCCCGGGGGGTCCCGGGCGGCAGCTGCCGTTACGTGCGGGCGTTTCGCTCTGTCTCTGCCAGGCACTCCCTGACCAGCGCCCGGGCGTGGATGATCCCTGCGGGGAGAAGCACAGGGACACCCCACATCACTCTCCAGTCCTCCCGCAGCGGGGCTGGGGGAGCCCCGCGGGGGGTGCAGCCCCGGGGGCCGCCCGGTCCCGCCGCCGCCGCCGCCCGTACCCCGCTTCAGCCGCTCCATAGCGCTCTTGCTGCCGGCGTAGGTGGGCCGGATCTCCTTGCCCATCTCCTCGATGACCGAGAGCAGGTCGGTGTAGGTGCTCTGCGAGCCCTGCGCCCCGGGGGGCTTCATGGCCTGCGGGAACGGGGGCACACGGAGGCACGGCGGCGCTGGGGGCCGCCCCCGCCGCCGCCACCGACCCCGGCCCCGCCGCCCCCGGCCCCGCGCCTCACCTGCACGTAGCCCATGGACGGTGGCCCGAAGTCATTGAAGAGCGGCCGGAAAGGGGCGGCGGCGCCGGGCACGGAGCCGGAGGGCGACGGGACACTCGTGGCTGCGGGAGACGGAGGGTCACGGCCGCAGCCCCCCGCCTCGGCACCCCCCGCACCGCGCCTCCGTCCCGCCCTGCCCCGGTGCCCGTCGGCGGCACTGGTCGCCCCCATCCCTCCGCGGTCACCGGGGGGTCTCTCACCGGCGGACGGCGCCCCGGGCCCCGGCGGGGCGGGGCTGGCGCTGGCGGCTCCGGGGGTGGCGGGGGCGGGAGCGATGGGCTTGTAGGACATCCCCGACGGCCGCCCGCCGCTCCCGGGTGCCTGGAGCCCCGCGGCGGGGTCGGCGCGCGGCCCCGCGCTCGCCCCGCCGGTGGTAGCGCCGCTGCCCGCCTCTCTTCAGCTCAGCTCTGCCCCGCTCGGCCCGGCGAGACGCCGGGGAGCGGAGCGGAGCGCGGCGGCCCCGGTTCCCGGTGGCGCTGCGCTGGCCCGGCCCGGCCCGACTCTCGGCGCCGCTGCCGCCGCCGCCGCCGCCGCCGCCGCCGCTCGCGGTGATGACGCACACGCGTCGCCCGTCACGCGCCCCGACGTCACCGCGCCCGCCGCGTGTGCGCGCGCCCGCCCGCCCGCCCGTCACCGTGGAGACACCCGGCGTCGGCCCCGCCCCCGCCCGGTCACGTGACCGGCGGCACCCCAGGAGCGAACCCCGACCCTGAGCCCAGGGGGAAACCTGGCCCTGATCCCGGGAGTGAACCCCAGCCCTGATCCCGGGAGTGAAGCACAGCCCTGATCCCGGGGGGAACCCCGGCCCTGATCCCGGGAGTGAAGCACAGCCCTGATCCCGGGAGTGAACCCCAGCCCTGATCCCGGGGAACCCCGGCCCTGATCCAGGAGTGAACCCCAGCCCTGATCCCGGGAGTGAAGCACAGCCCTGATCCCGGGAGTGAACCCCAGCCCTGATCCCGGGGGGAACCCCGGCCCTGATCCCGGGAGTGAACCCCAGCCCTGATCCCGGGAATGAACCCCAGCCCTGAACCCGGGGGTAACCCCGGCCCTGATCCCGGGAGTGAACCACAGCCCTGATCCCGGGGGGAACCCTGGCCCTGATCCTGGAACTGAACTCCAGGAGTGAATCCCGGCCCAGATCCCAGGAGTGAACCCCAGGGGGGAACCCTGGCCGAGACCCTGGGAGTGAAGCCCATCCCATATCCCAGGGTTTCCCTGTGACCGGCCCCACCGGCCTCCTCCCATGCAGGGACCCTGTGCAGCCCCCCCAGCCCTGGGCCAGCAAAGATCTCCAGGGGTCCCTGCGGTCTCCTAAGAGACACGGTGAAGGTCCTGAGTGTTGGGGAACACGGGTGGATGGCGCAGTCATCAATAAATGCTCCAGAAACTCAACATAAAACACAAACCAAAAGTGTGCAGAGAGAGGTTTTTTTCATCTCCAAGGGCAGAATTAACCCCAAAACTGCAGCCAGGAAGGGCACCCGTGCCAGCCCTGCCTACAGCACACTGAGCCCCCTCCGCCTGGGAACATCTGATTCCAGGTTTCTCTCCTTGAGGGGGTCCCAGCAGGGCACTGAGGCCCCCAGGAGCATCCCCCGCACTGGGGGCGGCTGGAGCATCCCCAAGGGGCCACGCCGGCCTCAGAACTAGAGGGGTGGGCAGGTTAGGGGGAAGTCTGAGCTCAAACGACGGTGACAGGGCAGGTTGTACTATGGGGTCAACATTAAACACAGTGTGGGGGAAGCCTAAGGGGCCCAGCATGGAATACAGGGAGGGAACAGAGGGTGTAGGAACAAGCAGCAGGAAAGGGTGCAGCTGGAGGAGATTGTGATGGTCTGACTTTTGGGGTGAGGTTGGGGGGGGAGTGGGATGGTGAAGGGAGGGAGCAGAGATGAGAGCGAGAGTGGCCGAAGCTCGTCCGAGTCTGTGCCGAAAAGGGTCCCAGCCTGGGCCCTGGTGCCTCCCGCCAAGGTCGGAGCTCGGCGTGGGAGCAGCCCTGGTGCTCTCGGCCTCGCCCCAGGCTGGGGCGGCACTGCCCCAGCCCCTGCAGCCAGGGGGCCCTGCATGGCCCCCTCCTCGTCGTAAGGCACAGGGGGCCCAGGTCCCACGTTGGCACACACCGCCCTCAGCGCGACATCATCCGCACGAACTCTGCCGGCGGGAAAGCACACCGGGAACATCAACATCGTGGACAACCCTGGGACACCCCCTGGCCCACGCCCCCCGCCCTACCTTCAAAGTCCACCAGGCCGTCGCCGTTGAGATCCACGTCCTTGAGGATCTCGTCCACCTCGCGGTAGTTGAGCTGCTGCCCCAGCAGCTTGCGCATGGCCTCCCGCAGCTCCGCCATGCTGATCTGCCCGTCCCCGTTGGTGTCGAACTGCAGCACAGGGCCCGGTGCTGCTGCTGCCCTCGGCATGTCGGCTGCCCGCCGGGCCGCCCCCCCCGCCCCTCGCCTCACCGCACCTCACGGAAGGCGTCACGCAGCTCCTTGATCCCAATCATATCCGCCGTCTCTGCCAGCATCTTGGGGCCCATCAGCTCCACGAAATCATCAAAATCCACCTTGCCCCCAGCTGCGGTGGGACGGGGAATGTCAGGGAGGGTGCGGGAGGTGGGCTGGGGTCGCACCCTGTGCCCCCCCACCACGTACTGATCTGCTGGGACAGCTCAATGAGCTCCATCTCCGTGGGCATGTAGCCCATGGTCCGCATGCACTCGCCCAGGTCCTTGTAGCTGATGTAGCCGTCGTGGTCCTTGTCGAACTCCTGGAACGCATGCTTCAGCTCTGGGAACACCACAGTGTCACCGCCAGACAGCCGGCACCGCCACCTGCCCCCCCCTCCCCCCGGGGCGGGAAGCCCTCCCCGGCACCTTACCTTCGATCTCCTCGGGCCGCAGCTCCCGGTCCTGAGGGAGAGAAAGCGGGAAGAGACGAAGGAGGGGTCCTACTCCCAGGGATCCCGCAGGGATCCTGCCCTCACCCCCCCAAGGGGTGCGGAATGCGCAGGGAGGGGACAGGCACGTACCCGCTGGGTGATGGCGATGCTCTGCCGCAGGAAGATGCAGGCCGGCCCCACCAGCCCCTGCAGCACCGAGTATCCCTGCAGAGGGGGGGTCTGCGCCGGGTCCAGTGCATCCTCTGGGTCCCCCCCACCAGAGCCCGGGACGCCGGAGCGCGGCTTCCCGTCCTGCGGGCACAGCGGGTGTCAGTGGCGCGGGGGGGCCGCGCTGGGACCCCCCCCTCCTCCTGCTGCTGCCCCCACGGGCCGGCCCGGCCCGGCCGTACCTTGGGGAGCCGCCGCTCAGGGGTCTTGGTGCAGTTGCCCATGGCTGGGGGCTGCCCCCGCGCCGCAGGACATGCCTGGCCCGGGGGGGCCGGCTGGCGCAGACCGCGGGGCTGCCACCGGGGATTTGAGGTTTTTATGGAATATCTGGGGATATGCAGGGCAGGCGAGGAGGGGGGGCGCCGCGCCCGCGCGCATAATCCTCCGGATTATTCCCCGCTCGGCCGCCCAGCTCCAGATGTGGGGAGCCGCCCAGCTGTTCCCCGGTCCCGCAGCCTCCCCGCGGGGGCACGCGGGGTCCCCGGTGCCCGCCGTGCCACGGCCCTGTCCCCGCCGGTTACCTGCCCGAGAGCGGGGGGCGGCCGGGGCCCGGGCTCCTCGGCGGCCCGCCGCCGCTCCGAGGGGGAAGCAGCGCTACGGCTCCAGCGCCCCCGGCTCCCCGAGGGGCCGGGACCCCCGAACCTCAGGGCCGGGCGGGATCGGCGGCCTCCCCTCCTGCCGAGCCCGTGGGGCCGGGGGGCAGCCCGGTAGGCGGGGGGCGCGGGGCTGCCGGTGCCGCGCCGCTGCGACCCGCGAAAGAGGAAGAACATCCCGTCTGCTCCCCGCTCCTTCTCCTCACCGCGGGAGCCTGGCAGGGGGGGAAACCAGATCCCTCCGAACCGGCGCTCGCCCCTCGCAGGGACGAGGCCAGCGCTGTCCCCGGGCCTCGCCGCGTCGCCCAGGAGACCGGGTGGAGCGCGACGACCCCCGGGGCGCGGGACGGGGGAGCGGGGCGGCCGGGGGACTCCGGGGGTCCTGGGGGCTCCGGTTTCAGCGCCCGAAACCCGACCCGACACCGAGCGCGGGGCACGTGGTGGCGCGCACCACCCTGGCCACGCCCCCCCCCCGCTGAGACCACGCCCTCCAGGCCACGCCTCCCCGCCGTGACCGCTCCCCAATGTCACCCGACGTGCTGCCCGGGAGGACACGCCCCCTGCTTTCTGACCACGCCCCCGAGCAGTGACCACGCCCCCGGCCCTCTAACCGCGCCCCCGCTCCCGTGCCAATCACTGACGTCACTGTCGCGTCGCCGGCGCTGCCCGTGACGTCGCCGCGGGGGCGCCTGAAGGTGACGGTGGTCGGTCCCGGTGCCGGTCCCGGTGCCGGTGCCGATCCCGATCCCGGTGCCGATCCCGCCATGGCCGCCCGGCAGCTGCTGGCGCTGCGGCGCCTGCCCGCCGCCTCCTTCTCGGTGAGCGGGGAGCTCCAGGGCCGTCCGGGCTGGGTCCCGGTTGCTCCCGGTGCTGATCCCGCGTGTCCCCGCAGACGGCGCCCAAGAAGACGCAGTTCGGGTCGCTGCGGGATGAGGACCGGATCTTCACCAACCTCTACGGGCGGCACGACTGGAGGTGAGCGGGCCCCGGGGTCGGCGGGCGCGGGCTCGGCGCCCCGCTGCCGGTGCCATGGTGCGCGGTGCCCGCAGGCTGCAGGGCGCCCTGCGCCGCGGAGACTGGTACAAGACCAAGGAGATCCTGCTCAAGGGCGTGGACTGGATCCTCGGCGAGATCAAGACCTCGGGGCTGCGGGGCCGCGGCGGCGCCGGGTTCCCCACCGGGCTCAAGTGGAGCTTCATGAACAAGCCCCCGGACGGCAGGTGAGAGGCGGGGGCCGGGGGCGGCGCCGGGAGCCCCCCGTGGCACCGGTCCCGGAGCTTTACCCTCCCCCAGGCCCAAGTACCTGGTGGTGAACGCGGACGAGGGCGAGCCGGGCACCTGCAAGGACCGGGAGATCATGCGGCACGACCCGCACAAGCTGCTGGAGGGCTGCCTGGTGGCGGGGCGGGCCATGGGCGCCCGGGCCGCCTACATCTACATCCGGGGCGAGTTCTACAACGAGGCCTCCAACCTGCAGGTGCGAGGAGTGCCCCAAAAACACCCCCCCAGCGCCCCGGCACTGGCGCAGGGTGTCCTGGCTCACCCGTTTCCCCCCCCTGCAGGTGGCCATCCGGGAGGCGTACGAGGCTGGGCTGCTGGGAGCTGATGCCTGTGGATCAGGATACGCCTTCGACGTGTTCGTGGTGCGCGGGGCCGGCGCCTACATCTGTGGGGAGGAGACGGCGCTCATCGAGTCCATCGAGGGCAAGCAGGGCAAGCCCCGCCTCAAGCCACCCTTCCCCGCGGACGTGGGTACGGCCCCGGAGCTCCATCCCCAATTCTCGGCTGCCATCCCAAACTGGGTGTCCCCGGGTGTACCAGCACATCCATTGGGATCTCCCAGTGTTTCATAGAGTCACAGACTGGTTGGGGTGAGAAGGGACTTTAAGGATCATCCCATTCCCATGCCCTGCCACAGGTCAGGGACACCTCTCACTAGACCAGGTTGCTCCAGGCTGGCCTTGGACACTTCCAGGGATGGGGCAGCCACAGCTTCCCTGGGAAATCCATCCCAAGGCCTTCCCTACCCTCCCAGGGAAGAACTCCCTCCTTCCCTTTCCCAGGTGTGTTTGGCTGCCCCACCACGGTGGCCAACGTGGAGACGGTGTCGGTGGCCCCCACGATCTGCCGGCGCGGCGGCGCCTGGTTCGCCAGCTTCGGCCGGGAGCGGAACTCGGGCACCAAGCTCTTCAACATCTCAGGGCACGTGAACACGCCCTGCACGGTGGAGGAGGAGATGTCGGTGCCGCTGAAGGAGCTCATCGAGAAGCACGCCGGTGGGTGCCGGGGCTGGGCCGCGCTGCACCGGGGCCGGGCTGGACTGGCTGCTCCTCACCCCCCTCTTTGCAGGGGGTGTCCGCGGGGGCTGGGACAACCTGCTGGCTGTGATCCCGGGGGGCTCCTCCACGCCCCTGCTGCCCAAGTCGGTGTGCGAGACGGTGCTGATGGACTTCGATTCCCTGGTGCAGGCGCAGAGCGGGCTGGGCACAGCCGCTGTCATCGTCATGGATAAATCCGTAAGGGACCGGCCCTCTGCCCGGACCCCCAGCCTCTCTCCCTCCCCTCCCTCACCTCACCCTCCTCTCCTTCCCCAGACCGACATCGTCAAGGCCATCGCCCGCCTCATCGAGTTCTACAAGCACGAGAGCTGCGGGCAGTGCACCCCCTGCCGGGAAGGTGAGCCCAGGGGGAGCGCTGTGAGGGTGAGGGGTTGCCCAGCACAGAGCCCTGACCCCTCCCCGCCCCACAGGCGTGGACTGGATGAACAAGGTGATGGCGCGGTTCGTGCGGGGCGACGCGCAGGCGGCCGAGATCGACGCGCTCTGGGAGATCAGCAAGCAGATCGAGGGGCACACCATCTGCGCCCTGGGCGACGGCGCCGCCTGGCCTGTGCAGGTGGGGGGGCCCGGGGAGGGGCCTGGGGGGGCCCACCAGCCTCTCCCCACCCCAGTAACCGGCTCCTTTGCTCCTGCAGGGCCTCATCCGGCACTTCCGCCCCGAGCTGGAGGAGAGGATGCGGCGCTTCGGGGAGGCCAAAGCCCGTGCGGCGTCGGCGTAAGGATGCAGGACCACCCGCGCGTTTTCCTGCCTGGAAGAGGGTTCAGGGGGTTCTGGGCTTCTGGCAGCAGTTCGGGAGGCTTCTGTGGAGGGGCCTCAATAAACGCTGCTGCACTCGTGGTCTCTGTGGCGGACATAAAATGGTGGGAAGGGACTGATTAGGGGGGCTGGGGATCCCCACGGATCGTGGCGTCTGGGTACCCCGGAGGGGAGATCCCAGCTTTCTGTGAGGCTCCACAGTCCTTGTCTGGGACTGGGCAGAGGCAGTGGCTGTGGGGAGATCACTAGGACATGGCTCTTTGGGGACCTCATGCTCCCTGTCCCTGCCACAATGTCCCCAGAACACCTCCTGCTGTACCAGTGCCAGGGGACAGCTGTCCTGGCCACGCTCCATGACTCGGAGCCCGGGGCAGTTCCAAACATGGCTTTTACTGAATCACAGTGTGCGACATCACCAGTGGCTTTGGTGTCCCAGAGCCACCCCCTGTCCCCTCCTCCCTCAGGCCTCGGGTTTCCGGGCTGGCACGTGGGTCTTCCTGCGGTACTGGCCAGGCAGCAGCAGCTCCAGGGTGAGCTCGGTGACGATGGCCGTGAGCCCCCACACCCTGTGGGGGCCGTTCAGGAACACGGGCAGGGTGTACCCGTAGCCGGTGGCCGTGCGGAAGTGGGTGTAGCCCTGGTTCTCCTCCCGCAGCAGGTGAGCCAGGGGCAGGGTGAACACCTCCTCCACCTGCCGGCACATGGGGGGGGCGGGGGGTCACTGTGGTGACACGCTCAGTGACACCAGGAAAGGGCTGCAGGCCCCAGGGAGGGGTCACCCACCTCATCGGGGTTGGGGGTCAGTGTCAAGGCTTCCAGCGGCCCCAGGTTGGCCACAACAGGCGCCACGGTCATTCCTTGCTGGAGGGTGCATCAGCGAGGGATGGGGTGACAACCCCCTCTCTGAAGTGCCACCTGTGTGTCTTGACCCCCCTGCACCCAACCCAGGCCCCCGCCACGTGTGTGTCACCCAACCCCCCCCCCTTCACCTGCAACCACTGCCCTGTGTCCCTGAATCCCCAGAACTCCTGTCACCTATGTCCCTGCTGACTTGTCCGTATCACGTGTAATCCCTGTCACTTGTGTCCCTGTCAAACCAAACCCATTACACGTCCCTGCTGCCTTGCCCCTGTCATCCTGAACCCATCACCCATGTCCATGTTAACCCGAGTCCCCTATCACACATGACCCAGCTGCTGTCCCTGTCACCTGTAACCCCTGTCACCTGCATCCCTGCTGCCTTGTCCCTGTCACTTAGAATCCCTCCTCTGTGTCCCTGCTTCCGTATTCCCATAACCCTTGTCCCTGTCATCTTGAACCCATCACCCGTGGCCCTGACACTCTGTCCCCGTCACCCTCGACCCCGTCACGGATTTCCTGCCGCTTGCCCTTATGTCCTTGTCCCCCCCACGCCCTTGTCCCGGCCCCGCACCCCCGGTACCCGGTCGGGGAGGGTCCGCAGCTGTCCCCACACGCTGGCTGCTGCCACCGCCACCCCCAGCTCCTCCCGCGTCTCCCGCAGCGCCGTGGCCACCGCGTCCGCGTCCGCCGGGTCCCGCCGCCCGCCGGGGAAGCTGCGGGAGGGATCGGGGTGGGCTCAGGGCCGGCCTGGCCCCGGCGCCCGCTCCCCCCGCCGGTACCTGACGTCGCCGCTGTGGGAGCCGCCGAGGCGGCGGGAGCGGAGCGTGTAGAGCAGTGCGGGGCGGCCGCGCACCGAGCACAGCGGCACCAGCACCGCGGCCGCGGCCGCCGCGCCCCCCGCGCCCCCCGCCGCCAGCCGCGCCCGGCACCGCCGCTCGCTGCCGCCGCTCAGCACATCCCCGGCGTCCGCGGCCCCGGCGGCACCGGCACCGCCTGGGCCCGCCATGGCGCCGGCACGGGCACGGGGAGGGAGCGACCGGCTCCGCCTCCCCCGACCGAGCCCGCCCCCGGCCGCCCCGGGACAGGGAACGGCCCCGCGGGTGCGAAACAGCCCCGCCCGGCGTGCGACAACTCCTCCCGGTGGGACGCGGTCCCCGCCAGGCACGGAACCCACCCGCCGGCTTTGCGATGCCCCCGCCAGGCGTGCGACCCCCTTGCCGGGTGTGCGACGGCCGCCGCCTTTGCAAGGTCCGCTGCCGGGTGTGCAAGTCCCTGCTCCGGCCGTGCAACAGCCCCCACCAGGTGTGCAACAACCCCGGCCAGGTGTGCGACCCCCCCTCCCAGCTTTACACCCACCCCTGGGT